GTCCCATTCATCAATAGCAGAACCCCCTTCAGTGTGTGGTGCCTATTTCTCCAAGGGGAGGGGAGGGGAAGTTGGACTGCAAAATTCTTCTTGGCAGTTGGGGCCCCCTGTGAACCTTCTGATATCCTTCTGATATTTTAAGAAATGAGATTCAACTCTAGTCTTTGTTTTCTGTTGTTATAACAGAATGTCCCAGATTAGATAATTTATAAAGAAAAAAGCCTGTTTCCTACAGTTCTGGAGGCTGGGGAGTCCAAGAACATGGCGCCGCCATCTGGTGAGGGTCTTCTTGCTGCATCATGATGTGACAGAGGGTGTTGCATGGCGAGAGGGCAGGAACATGTGGGTCAGCTCAGTTCTCTCTTCCTCTTCTTATAAAACCACTAATCCCATCATTGGGCCCCCTGGTGATCTTATCTAATCCTAATTTCCCCCCAGAGGCCCTGCTTATGATCATCATATGAATTTGGAGATTAAGTTTCCAACACATGAAATTTAAGGGACACATTCAAACCATAGCACATTGCATTGCTCCTGTTTTTGAACGCTAGCTCTACCACTTACTGACTGAGTCCCAGTGGGCAATTATTTAATCCTTTTCCTCTCCTCACAGTTTTCTCTTCTACAAAATAAGGGTGATTAGAGTATTAACAATAAAAATAATTAGTGTTTATTGGGTGCATTCGGTGTGCCAGACATTGTGCTAAGTTCTTTCCAACATTCCCTTTCAGCTCTGAGAGGTAGGTCCTGCTGTGCCCCCTGTGTTGTGAAGCAGTGATGATATTAAGAGCGAGCACACACTAAACACTCACTGTGTACCAGGCTCTTTTACATACTGTCTTCATTCTTAGATTCAGAAACCGAAGCTTAGGCAGGTGAAGTCCCTTGCCCCAAATCACACGCTGGGATGCACAGGACTGACTTGGGAACCATGTAGACACCAGCATGCGCCTACTGCCTGCTCACAGAGTGGATTGCAGGAGTAAATGCAATCATCCCTATAAAATGCTTAGCACAGGAGCTGGCACATAGCAAAAGCTTAAATTGTAGCTATTTTAGTTGCCGGTGAAGTCATACTCTTTCCAACTAAAACATTGTACTTCCTCTGCTTTGATGTGGAAGCACCACTCCTAATTTTATCAGTGAACATCTTGTATGGATCTTATCCATGGTTGTATGGCCATGGCCTGCTTGCTTATGGCTTCATGAGTCTCACAAAGTCCCCTCCCATCCACCTCAAGATGGCTCTTAGGGTACCCACACCAGCCCCCCCATAATTATGTTCCCTGGCCCTTCTTGAGTTACTTGATAAAACAATGTGGGAGCCTGGGTGTGTAGACTTGTGTTCTAGGTATTTTTTCTGATAGTTTGGTCATGTCACTGTGTCTTTTGTGGATTATAAGTGGGGTTAAATTTTGAGAATAAGAGCATATGCTAGGAAGAATGATTGGGGAGAACCACCATCTGCTGTGGTCCCTGTGGAGGTCTGGGAGCTACTGGAGAGGCCTTGTGTCAGGAGAGCTGGCCCCACCTCAGGGGACTCAAGTCTAGTTCCCTGGGGGCTGCATGGCAGCTTACACAAACGCAGCAGATTAGACGAGTCTGTGACAAATGAGAGCACGTGTCCAGGAAGGGGGCAGCAGCCGTCCCCTCTTCAGGAACAGCAAACCCTCATGACCACACACGGGTGATCGCCATCCTGTGGAAAATGGGCAGGTGCTCTAAAAGGCCCTTCAGAAAAGAAGAAACATGAATGGCCAGTACATGCAGGAGAATGCCGGTCTCACGGATTGTGACAGAAGTGCAACCTAGAGTGAGAAACCATACCCAGGACTGGGGTTCAGGGAGACAGCTTCTCTCCTTGTTTTTTTTTTGAGTTGGAGTCTCACTCTGTCACCCAGACTGGAGTGCAGTGGCCGCTCCCGGCCACCGCAGCCTCGACCTGCTGGGCTCCAGCGATCCTTCCGCCTCCGCCTTCCAAGTAGCTGGAACTACAGGCGCGCGCTACCACACCCGGCTAGTTTTTAATTTATTGTAGAGATGAGGTCTCGCCAAGTTGCCCAGGCAGGTCTCGAACCCACGGGCTCAGGCAGTTCACTCACCTAAGCCTCCCAAAGGTGCAGGATTACAGGCTGAACCACTGAGCCCGGCTACTCTCCTCCTTGTAATTGGGAGTGTTAATGGACAGGGTTGTTCTGGAAAGCACTGTGGCAGGGTCTGTCAAAGCTAAAACTAGGCAGGTCCTTTGATCTAGAATTTTCTTTTCTTGAAATTAGCCTTTTAAATTTTAAAAAGGACTGTTAGGAAAAAATATTGGCTACAGCATTGTTTATATAAGTGAGAAATAGGAAACCATCCAAGTGTTTATCAATAAGGCAACACTGACATCTAGGACATCCTATACTGGATTTTTTTTTTTTTTTAGATTAGAAAATTTAGTTTATTTAGAAGATAATTAGAGAGAGAGAGAGAAAAGGGTTTCACCTCCCCAAGGTAGGGTAGGGCACCAAAACCAGGAAATACGGCCCGGCCATAGCTCAAAGAGCACATGGCCACACCATAGCTTAGCAAAGCAATGGCCACAGTCTGTACTGAAATGTTATTCATCTTTAAACAATAATGTAACTTGTATGTACTGATATGAAAAGATGTCCAACTTTTATGATGAGAAAAAAACTAAAATTGTGTTACATTTGATCTTTCTAAAAGATGTTTATACCTACAATAAAATAAATTATGTACACACGGACAAAATTCTGGTTCTTCCTTCAGCTTAACGATTTTACTAAAAATGTTTGCATGGATTATAACTTTTTTTTTTGAGTCGGAATCTCACACTGTCACCCAGGCTAGAGTGCAGTGGTACACTCACAGCCACCACAGCCCCACCTGCTGGGCTCAGGCGATCCTTCCGCCTCACCCTCCAAGTAGCTGGAAACTACAGGTGTGTGCCACCATACCCAGCTAATTTTTTAAATTTATTGTAGAGATGGGGTCTTGCCAAGTTGCCCAGGCTGGTCTCGCACCCGTGGGCTCAGGCAATTCTCTCACCTTGGCCTCCCGAAGTGTTGGGATTATAGGCTTGAGCCACTGCCCCTGGGGTTTGGAATTTTTAAAGTTGGAAAATCAGACTAAATTAATAACAATCTAAATTATACATGTAAAGACAGTCTAGCTTTACATATTTTAAAAAGAAATTTTTTGAGTTGGAGTCTCACTCTGTCGCCCAGACTGGAGTGCAATGTGGCACGCTCCTAGTCACTGCAGCTTCAACCTGCTGGGTTCAGGCAATCCTTCCACCTCAACCTTCCAAGTAGCCGGAACTACAGGTGTGTACTACCATGCCCAGCTAATTTTTTCCTTTACTATAGAGAAGAGTTCTCACCATGTTGTCCAGGCTGGTCTCAAACCTGTGGGCTCAGGCAATCCTCTCACCTCACCCTCCCAAAGTGCTGGGATTATAGGCTTAAACCTCCATGCCCAGCCGTATATATTTAAAAATTTATAAATGCTTTACTAAATTTCCAAGTGAGAGTACATATCTAATTAATTGACTAGTCAATCAACTTCTAAATAGATAAGCACTTGTTTTGAACATGTCCTTTTTGTTAACATTTTTTAAATTTGCAGTTATTTTTTTTTTCTTTATTTGCTGGCAAATTCTTTATTGAGACTGTAAATGTACATAAAATAACCAAATGATCAAAAATGCTACAATTGTAGATTCCACATTGATGAAGCTTTATACTATAGTTAATCACTGGAATTTTACAAAATCATGTGCTATGGAGGGAATTATTTCACAATGAACCCCAGGTGGTTTGGCTATTGTTCAGAAGTCTTCTTCCTCATTTCTACTTCAGCATTTTACATGCTCAAACATTGTATACTTAGGAATCTACTCAACATAGCAAAATAGTACAACTGTACTGTTTGAGCTCTCTAGGCCTGTTTTATCTCTTGTCAAGTGGGGAATCACCATGTATATCATAAGCAGCATCTCTAAATCTGTCTCATGACTCTTTTAACTGGCTCACTTTCTGGAAATGATGTCCATGTGCCTGCTGCTTGAGTCACTGGTTCTGTGTGGCTAACATGATGCCATGTGTTATGGCCTCAAATGATTAAAAAATATAAAAATGGAGACTGGGCACAGTGGTTCATGCCTGTAATCCAGACACTTTGGGAGGTGGAAGCGAGAGGATTGCCTGAGCCCAGGAGTTTGAGACCATCCTGGGCAACTTGGCAAGACCTTGTCTCTACAGTAAGTCAAAAAATTAGCTGGGCGTGGTGGTGCACACCTGTAGTTCCAGCTACTTGAAAGGCTGAGGCAGAAGACTCATCTGAGCCCAGCAGGTCGAGGCTGCGTTGGCCTTGAGCATGCCACTGCCTTCCAGCCTGGGTGACAGAGTGAGTCTCCAACTCAGAAAACAAAAATATATAAAAATGGGTACATGTGGGTGGTGGAGGCATCACTCAAAACCACCTGGTTTGACTGCCTGCGGCGTTTTCACGGCTAAACTGAATCCCTGTAATTGTGCATGAATTCGATAGCTATTCAGCAAGAATCAAGTGTGTGCTAGGCACCATACTGGGGCTTTAAAATTTCATTTCACCTTTCCCCAGCAGGCTCAGTGTTTTCACCCTCTTTGTACAATCAAGAGAACTCAGAAGATGAGGTAGGTTGCTAGTCACACTAGATAAAGTAGTAGAAACAGGCTTTGAATTCAAGTCTGAGAGGTTCTGAAGCACATATATACCCTTTATACTTATTATCCCTCTTTAGTTTTGTGGAACAAAGATGTTTTTGTATATGACACTGATTATGGGAGAACTGGACATTTCCTTAATTTTTGGATTGAATTCTGAATACTTTAAGAAATATACAAATCAATGGTAGATACTTTGCTGGTGAAATTAGTCTAAATATTTTTTTTTCCTCTTAAAGCAGACTTATATAATTGTGAGTGCTTGTCATTTTTGTTTTTTTTAATTTTTGTAGGAAGTGACCAATCTCACTCCTGGACACTAGTTACAAGCCAAGCCTTAGATACTGCCTGGAGACTAGCAAAGGGCTCCGTGACATTGGCAGTTTCATTTCTGGTGACCACCCTCTGCTACTTCAAGAGACTGCATTTATATGTGGGGCACCAACTGAAATGGTAGGTTGTTATGTCATCTTTAAATTTCAGATATACCCCTGTTATTCCAAGCAGAATTTTGATATTGTTGTTTGTTTTATCTTGCAGGTGGATTGGATATCTGCAGAGAAAATTCAAAAGTAAATCTTTTATTCATACGTTTCTTCATTTTTAAGGTGCAGGGAGGGCTCAAGAAAGAAGAGCAAAAGGCAAATTAACAGGCTTTTATTTTTAATTTGGTCCAGGGAACCTCAGCGTGGAGGCAGAAGTTGATTTACTCAGTTATTGCGCAAGAGAATGGAAAGGAGAAACACCTCGTGCCAAGCTGATGAGGAAGGTGGGTCTGTTTGTGGAGGTTATGGAAGACACAGAATTTGTCAAAATCAGGAAACAGACATTCCTTTCTGCTTTACTAAACCCAGAGATCAGTCAGTACCAAAAAAGTGATGCAAGTAACAATTGTGGCTCTAATTCAAAAGCCAAACACCTGCTTGACATTGGCTTTGGGCCTTCTAGCCAGAGCTCATACCATCGAGGACTTGGGTAAAGTAGGGTATAGTAGGTCTATAATTTCAGGAAACCTGAGCATGGTGCTCTTTTCGACTCTTTCTTGACCAGGCATGCTAAGCATCTTCATGTGCAGTGGAGACTGTCTTGGCAGGAATTAGACACCCTGACATAAAATATTTTGAGTATGTTTAGAAGTCTCCATTGGACCAATCTTGGAAAATATTCCCAGCAGTGCTGCTCAATCTTGTCACTACCAAAAGCAGAAAAAAGGGTAGGGAATGGAGTTACATTTAAAGTACTCCTTAAGAAAGGGACTAGCAGTAGTGGGAAACTGCCTGGGAAGTGGGGGGGGGGGATTGGCAGTTGAGAGTGGGGGGGCGCACCTCATCAACAAGGGTACTTGCGTAATGAATGTTTGTATACCTAACCCTGAATTGTACCCCACATCTTTAAAATAAAAAATTTAAAAGTTAAAAATAAAAAAATAATAAAGTACTCCTTAGTATGGTCTTGAAAGTATATGTATTTTTCACTATGGTATCTTGCATCCATTATGTGCCCAAGTGACCTGTCCTGGCCTAGGATTTATCATCTAAAATTGCAAATCACAGAATTTGATATGTGGCCATATTCATAATTTATCATAGTTTCTGTTGTCCGTGTTAGTTGGGAGGAACACCTCACTGAAAATACGGTGAATTCACTTTCTTTATTCTCTTGTCCAGAGGAATTAGTATACAGTATTTTCTTTTTGTGCTGGTAGGCTTATGAGGAGCTGTTTTGGCGACATCATATTAAATGTGTTCGACAAGTAAAGAGAGATAACTATGATGCTCTAAGATCGGTGCTATTTCAGATATTCAGCCAGGGCATCTCTTTTCCATCCTGGATGAAGGAAAAAGACATTGTTAAGGTATGTCCTCATACTGGAAATGTGGGAAATGCTTTGTTGACGATAACTGCATTTCGGAAGCCCCTGGTCTTTGGGTGGCTTTGCATTTGGGCTCATGGGACTGAGGGAACTTTGAGATGTCTTTTAACCCAGCCCTCTATCGCTCATGTCAGTTTACAAATAAACCTTCTCACAAAGATAGTCATACTCAGTGATGTTTGTTTCTTTTTTATTCTACCGTCTTTTCTTGAGGGGCACCTGTCTTTTATAAGTATGGTAATCTAGTAAAATTTACTTTTTCACACTATAATTATATGAGGCTTAACAAGTACTACATGTGCCGGGCTCGGTGGCTCAGCCTGTAATCCCGCGCCTTTGGGAGGCTGAGGTGAGTGGATTGCCTGAGCCTGCGGGTTCAAGACCCGCCTGGACAGCGAGACCTCATCTCTACAATAAATAAAAAAAATCAACCAGGTGTAGTAGCGCATGCCTGTAATTCCAGCTACTCAGAAGGCTGAGATTGAAGGATCACCGGAGCCCAGCAGGTCGAGGCTGCGGTGGCCAGGAGCGGCCACCTGCACTCCAGTCTGGGCGACAGAGTGAGACTCCAACTCAAAAACAAAACAAAACAAAACAAAAAAAACAAATGCTACATGTGTAACCACCATGCCGAAGATTCTTTTGTATATCTTTATAGTTAATCCTTCTTCCACCCCTAGCCCTGACATCCACAGATCTGTTTTTATCCCTATGGTTTTGCCTTTTCCAGAATGTCATATCAATGTAATCATCCATTATGTAGCTTTTTGAATCTGGCTTCTTTCACTTAGCACTTTCACTTATGGTTGCAATTCACCCGTGAATTCATCTGTGAATTTGTAGTTCATCCACTTTTCTTGTTGAATGGAATTCGCTTACACAAATGTAACGCAGTTCAAGGTCATCCAGATTGTTTCCAGTTTGGGGCAACTATAAATGAAGCAGTTGTAAATATTCTCATACAGGATGTTGTATGAACATTAGTTTTCATTTCTTTTGGGTAAATACTTAGAAGTGAGATTGCCTGGTTGTGTGCTAGGTGTATGTTTAACTTGATAAGAAACTGCTAACCTGTTTTCCAAAGTGGCTCAGCCATTTAGGTTCCCCCCAGCAGTGTATAAAAGTTCTGGGTGGCCACATTTTCACCAGCACTTGCTGTTGTCAAGTTTCTTTTTTATTTTTGGCAGTTCTAGTAGTTGTGAATCAGTATCATTGTGCTCTTAGTTTGCATTCCCCTAATGAGTGATGATGTTGAGCATCTTGTCGTGTGCCTGTTTGCCATCCCTGTTATCTTCTTGGATAAATGTCTGTTCAAATCTTTTGACCATTTTTTATTATTTAGTGCCTAGAGTTCTTTATTCTGAATATAATACTTTGTCAGATATGTGATTTGCAGATACTGTCTCCCAGTTTTTCTTTGGATTGTTTTCTCATTTTCTAAACATGCAAGACAGTACATTCTTGATGAATAACCTGACTTTTTGTTTTGAATGCAGTATGCCTAATCTGAGGACATTTAAGGATGGAGGAGCAAAGGAAAATAAAGAATATGTGTATGTGCTTGCATGTGTGCATATGTGTATGAGTTGTATTTTGGTTTTTGTTTGTTTGTTTTTGAGTTAGAGTCTCACTCTGATGTCCAGGCTGGAGTGTAGTAGCGTGCTCACAGCCACCCCAACGTTGGCCTGCTGGGCTCTGGCACTCCTTCTGTCTCAGCCTTCCAAGTAACCGGAACTACAGGCTTGCACTCATGCCCAGCTAATTTTTTGATTTATTGTAGAGACGAGATCTCACCGTGTTGTCCAGGCAGGTCTCAAACCTGCGGGCTCCCAAAGTGCTGGAGTTGTATTTTCATATATGACTACATGGATTGTTTTTTCTTGGAATCTTTTATTTAATCTTGTTTTTATTCCATTTTATCTAGCAAATGCTTGTCAAATGTATACAGTATGCTTACCCTGCTACTAATTACTGAGGAGAAAGATACAAAAATACAACAGAGGCTAGGCACAGAGGCTCATGCCTGTTATCCCAACACTTTGGGAGACCAGGGAGGGAGGATTGCTTCAGGTCAGGAGTTCAAGATTAGCCTGGCCAATGTAGTGAGAACACATCTCTACAAAAAAAAAAATAAAATATTAGCCCAGTTTTGGTGACAATGTCCATAGTCCTAGCTACTCTGGAGGCTAAGGTGGGAGGATTGCTTGAGCCTAAGAGTTTGAGGCTGAAGTGAGCTGTTATTGTGTCACAGTACTCCAGGCTGGGCAACAGAGGGAGATCCAAGCTCTGAAAGAGAGAGAGAGAGAGAGAGAGAGAGAGAGAGAGGAGAGAGGGAGGGAGGAAAGGAAGGAAGGAGGGAGGGAGGGAGGAAGAGAGAGAGAGAAAAATACAAGCAAACAAATAAATCAGTAACTCTGGGAACAACAAGCTGAGTTGGATGGGAAAATGTACTGGACACCTGTGATGGATTAGATTCTTATATACACCATAATCTTATTTAATCCTAACAAAAATCCTGTAAAATAGACAGTATTATCCTAAACATATATTGGTGCATGAGGCTAAGAGATAAAATAATCCATGGTGGTTAAGTATCTCTCAGCTACTGAATGACAGCTAGGTTTGAACCACAGAGGGCATCATTCTAAAATCTACCTGTCCCCGGATGTGCTATACTGTCCAACATCATTTGGTTAAAGATAAGTTCTAAAGGGCTGTAAAGGCTATACTTAGGATGTTTGGTAAGTATTTTATCCAAAAAGATTGCTTCTGTGGACATAATCCAGTATTTAGGTTTTCATCACTTGTGAAATTGTAAAGTGAGAATATGATCTAAAAAATAATACACAAATCTAAAAAATGACTATGTGCTTTTTCCTTAACTGTTGTTATGGTCTTTTTAAATGAAGATTGCTAAGTGAGATATGATTATATGCTGTGCCATGTTCCAAATTATGTGTAATAAATGTTGAGGTACTAATCAGTGTTGGCATCTACTTCCTTTTCAAGCTTCCTGAAAAACTGCTGTTTTCACAAGGTTGTAATTGGATTCAACAATACAGTTTTGGTCCTGAGAAGTATACAGGTTCAAATGTGTTTGGAAAGTTGCGTAAATGTGTGGAATTATTGAAAACACAGGTGAGTGTTTAGAGGAGAAAAAAAGAAGACTGGAAATAAAAGAGTACATCCCAAATGTAGCCAGTTTTCTCTAATGGCAGGCATAGCACTTTATGTGAGGAAAGGAAGAAATTCAAGCAGAAGTGCTTCTTCTAGTAACTGATGATTTCCTTTCCTTGTCCTTTCTCCAAGTAATGAAGGAGAGGAACATTGTTCTCTGTGATAATTAGGCCTTTTGTAGAGTAAGAGGGTTTCTATGGGCTGACCTGAAACCTTGCCAACCCTATACCTTTATTTCCCCAGAAAAATGCAGTGCAAATTTCAGACAAAGTTTTCCGAAATGCTCTTCTGGAATGTACCCTGTTAATAACTTGGGAGTGGCTTAGATCTATTAACTTGACTAAGAGTTTCTCTGCTTTTTTTTTTCTTTTTTTTTTTTGAGTTGGAGTTGCTCACTCTGCTGCCAGACTGGAGTGCAGTGGCATGCTCACAGCCACTGCAGCCTTGACCTGCTGGGCTCAGGTGATCCTTCCGCCTCAGCCTTCCAAGTAGCTGGAACTACAAGCACATGCCACCACACCCGGCTATTTTTTTTTTTTTAATTGTAGAGATGAGGTCTCACCCAGTTGCCCAGGCTGGTCTTGAACCCCTGGACTCAAGCAGTCCTCTCGCCTTGGACTCCCAAAGTTCTGGGATTACAAACTGAGCTACTGTGCCCAGCCAATCCTGCTTTTTAATAATGACACACCTTTTTGGATGATTGAAATGAATCCTGAGCCTACCACTAGCTGGGTCTTCTTAGGAAATACCGTAACCTTTCTGGCAGTAGTTTTCTTATCTATAGAAGAGAAATATGAATAGTGTATGCCCTATATGATTATTGTGAGGATTCAGTGGCTTAATACATGTAGAGTGCTTTAAACTGTCCATGGTGAGTGTTAAAGAATGCTGGTGCTATGCTCTGAAATACCCTTTGTGTAACCCATTCATCCTAAGAAGTTTTAGAAAACTGACTTGCTTAGTACTTCACCTAGTATGTGGTACTTTTATGAAAAATATTTTATTAAACTAGTTTCTTATTTAAAAAGTCATATATATATATATACACACACACATTTATATGTATACATATGTAAAGTCATATACATATATATATCATCTTAGTTGGCTTGGGCCACTATAACAAAATACCGCAAACTGGGTAGCTTAAACCAAAGGCATTTATTGTTTATAGTTCTGGAGATTGGGAAGTTGAGATTCAGGTGCCAGCAGGGTGGGGTTTTTGGTGAGAGCCATATTCCTGTTTTGTAGACAGCGCCATCTTGCTGTATGTCTTCACATGGTGGAAAGAGAACAAGCTAGCCCTTTGGCCTCTTCTTATGAGGCTGTCAATCCCGTTCATGAGGGTTCCAGGCTCATGACCTAATCACCTCCCAAAGGTCCTACCTGCTAATATGATCACCTTGAAATTAGGGTTTCCATGTATGACTTTTGGGGAGACACAAACATTCAGTCTATTACAGTATGCTTATGGTTAAAAAAAATCAGACAGTGCCAAAAGATGTAAAGTAAGGAATTAAAGTTCCACTTTCTTCTATTCATCTTTGTGTAAGTACATTGTATAAATACTTTAAAAACTATGCAGTGATGGCTGAATGCAGTGACTCATGCCTGTGATCCCAGCACTTTGAGAGGCCAAGGTGAGAGGACTACTTGAGCCCAGGAGTCCAAGACCAGCCTGGGCAACATAGCAAGACCTCAACTCTACAAAAAAAAAAAACTAAAAATAAGCTGGATGTGATGGCACGCTACTTGGAAGCTACTTGGCTCACTACTCAGCTATTTGGAAGGCTGAGGTGGAAGGATCACCTGAGCCCAGGAGGTCGAGGCTGCAGTGAGCCATGATCATGCCATTGTACTCCAACCTGGGCAACAGAGTGAGACCCCCAACTCAAAAAATAAAACTATGCAGTGGTGTGTATACTCACCTTTACCCTACTAAGTTTCACTTTCACATCTATATTTTTAGTGGGCTGAATTTAGTGGAATTAAAGATTATCACAAGAGAGGAAGTATGTGCAACATCCTTTTTTCTGATGCCATTCTGGAATATAAACTTTATGAAGCTTTAAAGTTCATCATGCTGTATCAAGTCACTGAAGTATATGAACAAATGAAGACTAAAAACGTCATTCCCAGTCTTTTTAGACTCCTGTTTTCCAGGGAGACATCATCTGACCCTTTGAGTTTCATGATGAATCACCTGAATTCCATAGGCGACAGCTGTGGACTAGAGCAGGTAAAGGAGGCAGAGGACCCATGTGTGTTGGATTAAGGATGCTGTGCGTGCGACTTGAACACCTTGGTGCTTGGGGTATGCTTTCAGCAGTGACATAGCCAACTGCTTAGAAGTGGTTGGTTGATGTTATCGCCCCTCACTCAAGTGAGGAAAAAAAGAGAATAAACCTTGTTGCTCTGCACTGGTTGCTCGGCGTCTCCCCAGGCCTATGGCCAGAGAGCACCAGTTCTGGGAGCCTTTCTGACCTCTCATGCTGCTTCTCAGATGGTAGCAGGTTCGTTCACCCAGAGGTTACCAGGAAAAATGCAATTGGAAAATGAGATCACTTTAGGGAAGCTTTTGGTTACCTATTGCAGATAAATGTAAGTTAACTGAAACCTTTAAGGTCCAGACAATGCTTTTATCTTGGGAGAAAAGGGTTTCTTTTTTGTTTGCTTTCCTTTCCTAGAGGGTGAACAAAGCTATTTGACATTTTTATATAAATTGATTTTAAATGCTATAAATCTGGGTGGGAAACAATGTGATTTTATTGTGTTTCTTTCTTTTTCATTAACTTTTTAAAATAGTTTTTCCCTTTGCTTTCCTCATGCTAGTCTGGAGAGATGTTCCTACGCGTGTCTTTCCTTCTACACAATAGACTTCTGTTCCTAGCTCTGTGTCCACTCAGCGGCTTCTGGGTGGGTCTGTCAACAAGTAGGTTATTTCATAAGCTGCAGAAGAGCACTTCCCCCGCCACGGTAAGAGGCAGGCATTTGAACGTGTGTGTTTGTGACCTTTCTCTCATCTCATCCCCAGATTGATATGTTTATACTTGGATACTCCCTTGAAGTAAAGATAAAAGTGTTCAGACTGTTCAAGTTTAACTCCAGAGACTTTGAAGTCTGCTACCCAGCGGAGCCTCTCAGGGAGTGGCCAGAGATCTCCCTGCTGACCGAGAATGACCGCCACTACCACATTCCTGTCTTTTAAGTCTGCCTGGGGCAGACAGCCCAGTGCTGGCCAGTGACAGTGGTCACACTTTCAAGTAAAGTATTTCTCTAAAACCAAAGCTAGCATTTCAGCCATGGAAAGAATTAGGACCTTTCTCTCCAGAATTACGGGTACTCTAGATGGAGCAATACACGGATGGTTTTCCTTTATGTTTTAGTGATTTCCTCTGAAGCAGCTACACTGATACTACTGGGGGTTAGTGGTTTGACTTTGTCCATAAGGTTATTTCACATGATGGCAGGCCTTTAAGAGTACAAGGAAGTTTAATGTGGACAACACCAAAAAAGAGGCAAGAAGAAAGCAATTAGAGAAAAACAGCTAAACTGGAGAGAAGAATTTATCTCTGACCTTTACATTTTTCATTAAAAATCTTATCTTGGACTGACTTTGAACCATTATAAACATGGCCTTATTTTATAAGCATTACTTTTTCAGGAATCTTTGTTGTATATTAATTTTCTAGAACCACTTGATTAACTTTAAAATTATATGTGTGTGTATATATACACATATATACGTTTATATATACACACATCTGTATACATGTATAGTTTTATATATACATATATATACATGTAGACATACAAATAACCACTACTTTGTAATGTTGTACAGTCTGTTTTATATCTCTTTACATATTTTGTTGCTGTTGTGTCTGACCAACTTAATCGGTTTTATTTAGATAAAAAGGTAAATTCTGTAGATTAAAGCCACTGAATGACAATTATGGAACTGTCAGAAAAATATTAAACTGTGGTATATTTATTGTGCATTTACATGCATATTTGATATGTGGAATCTCATTATGGTAAGAAGAATAATGTCTCCTCCCTGCCCCCCAAATATGTCTACATCCGAATCCTCCAAGCTTGTGAATATGTTGGGTTGAATGGCAAAGGAGAATTAAGTTGCAGGTGGAACTAAGGTGCTAATCTGTTGACCTTGAAATGGGGAGATTTTTTTCTATACTCTCCAGTGGGCCAGTGTAGTCAGAGTCCTTAAATGTGGAAGAGGGAATTAAAAGAATGTGAGTAAGAGGGAAATGTGAGATACAGAACTGTCAGGCAGAGATACACCATTGCTGGTCGTGAAGATGGAGGAAGGGGCCGTGAGCCAAGGAGTACAGGCAGCCTCTCAAACTAGGAGAGAAAAGGCAAGGAATCACATCTTCCCTAGCACCTCCAGAAGGAACACAGCCCTGCTGCCACCTTGATTTTAGCCCAGCGAATCCTGTGTCAGACCTCTATAGAACCGTAAGATGATAGATGTGTGTAAACCACTAAGTTTGAGGCATTGTGTTATAGCAACAGAAAACGAATATTCTCAGGCCGACAAATTTTTGGTTGTCTTCATTTTGGAAGTATTTTTCTAGTTTACTTTGGCAGTTTTCATTCTGGAGGTACTTTGCCAATCTCTTTTGAGTTTCAATATATATGAAATAATTTTTAAAATCTTGCTAAAGGTGATATCACCTCAGAGTCACAAGTCCCTTCCTAAGAGTGAGTTATTTCACAAGATAGTTGGCGCTGACATTTTCCCATATGTTCATACTATTTCTACAATAAATAAAAAAGAGGTATGTTAAATGCTAAGTTGCATGAAATTAGCGTTCCTGTGCTTTTGCAATGGGGATGATCAGTGTGTATACTATAAAGCCGATGTCTCATAGTGAGTTGTTCCCACTGTCATTTCGTTTCCTGGTTGAAGAACTCAGCCACACAAAACAAGAGTTCTTTTTTTTTTTTGAGTTGGAGTCTCACTCTGTCGCCCAGACTGGAGTGCAGTGGCTGCTCCCGGCCACCACAGCCTCGACCTGCTGGGCTCCGGTGATCTTTCTGCCTCAGCCTTCCAAGTAACTGGAACTACAGGTGCACGCTAACACACCTGGCTAATTTTTTTATTTATTGTAGAGATGAGGTCTCATCAAGTAGCCCAATGGGTCTCAAACCCGTGGGCTCAGGCAGTCCACTCACCTCAGCCTCACAAGGCGCAGGATTACAGGCTGAGCCACCGAGCCTGGCTTACAAGAGTTCTCAATTGGCCTCTATAGCCCCTTCCTTCTTGGAAACATCTGTGGTTTTGCATAACCCCTGCCATTTAATTGACATTGCTAGAATTTTCCTCTTGATATGGTACTATGACTTTGGAAGCATGAACTCTGCCCTTTCTGTTCACAAGCAGACATGGCAGGCTGCTAAGATTTATAGAATTGCTGCTCCAAAATTTTGGTTCCACAGCTGTCCAGGGACCTACCTGGCATTTGTATATTACAACTCACCTTGGGTCTCCTTATCTCGTGTAATGATTTTCACATCAATCCAGGACTGAAAGGAAAAACATTTTCCCTGGGATTGGCAGCCTGTGACTCTGTGATGTCAATGAACCCATGATGCTTATCCTAACTGTGTGTTGGGAGGGAGGGTGGCAGCAGCAGGAATTCTTTAAATAGAGAACCAAATTGTGAAAAAGGACATTTTAATACAGTGTAAGTGAAAAGGAAGAAGATATTTAAATAGTTGCTATGTTTCAAGAAGGCATGAAAACAAGTTTTTAGGGAGTAGGTATTGGGTGTTGTTTTGCCTTTATTCAGCTGTGTAATGAATATAACAAACTAAGTAGCCCAAAGGCACTGCATATAAATTAGCACCACTTTTCAATGCCGACAATAAATTGGAGGTGAACTTCCTGTGTGATGCCAACATTTAAATGTCTTTCTAACCTTAGATCTTTTAAATGATGAGAGAACGATAGCAAAAGTGAAATTATAATGCCCTTGTCCTTTTCTGATTTTAGAGTAAGTTTCTTAAATTTTGCCTATATGTGTTCATACTGAGCAGTTGTATAAATATTAATACAAGACTGACTTTTATTGTGGTAAAATATGCATAACATTAAATTGACCATGTTAACCATTTTAAGCGTACGGTTCAGTGGCATTAAGTATATTCACATTGTTGTGCGACCCTCACCACTACCCATCCTTAGAACTTTTTTTGATCTTCAAGACTAACTTTATCCATGAAAGGCAACTTAATAATTCCTCACCTGGTGCCTGAGTTTCTTTTACTTTTCATGCTATCTTTCTATCATACCCTTCTAATCTGAGTATTTCCTTTAGGCTTAAGAGATCCTCAGTGGAGAAGTACAATATAAGGGGGTTTAGATAACCAAATGGATTAGGAAAATTGTGTTTATCGCCAAAGTAACGCAATACCTATGGATAGCTTCTGCATTCAACTTGGGAACACTCTCATTTGGAAGTGCCCAAGAAACTCTTATTTCAGAGCCACCCCAATAACTTGGATTTCTTGGATGTGGGTCTTCATGGTCTTAAACTAGCGTCATGTCCCGAAGGAGAATTTGACAAAAGCCCCCAGGGCCTCCTCTAGGGTACCCCCAGACTGAGCTGGTGGAGGATGGGCCCAGTCTCCAGAAGAGAAGACCAGCCCAGATCAGAGGGCATCTACATTAATTTTCCCGGGACTTTCTTGCAAATGAAATTTGGATGGAAATGTTTGTTATTCTCAATCAGATGATTTTCTCCTATTTTAGTGAGACCAAAGAAAGACAATTTTAATTCTGTCCAAACTGGTCTTAGGAATGGAAAAAATACATAACTTTTCTGAATACCTTGGAAATGTTGGAATTCCACATCAAAGTATGTAAATGTTTTTAATTAATAACTAACCCAATATATGAAAATCTATGCAAACATGAATAAAGAGATGATCAGTTTCAGAATTAGCAGCAGTTTTCTCTTAAATGGTGAGTTCCTAAAGCTTCCGATTCTTTTTACAAGTGTATTTCACATTGCTTAACAAAACTAGTTACTGTGTAAAATAAAGGATATGTATATTATATGCATTTTCATGGAGCTGAAACATTTATAGGGTTGCTTGCCATCTTTGAATATTCTTTAATTTTATTAAACTTTTATTGGTTAAATGTAGGTATGCTTTTCTCTCTAGCCATTCACATTTTATAAGTTTTATTTTAATTAATTTTAATTGGCAAATAATTTAGCCATTCACATGCCTTCAGATCCTATTTTTATCACAAGGTCTGTTTTATAGCTAGACAAAATTAAGTGGGTCCAAACCATACAACCACTTCTATGTTATTTGTTAAAAATAATGGATCTTGGCCGGGCTTATTGGTCAGTCTGTAATCCCAGCACTTTGGGAGACTGAGGCGAGTGGATTGCCTGAGCCTGTGGGTTAGAGACCAGCCTGGGCAACTTGGCGAGACCTCATCTCTACAATAAGTCAAAAAAATTAGCTGGGCATGGTAGCACGTGCCTATAGTTCCGGCTACTTGGAAGGCTGAGGTGGAAGGATCACCGGAGTCCAGCAGGTCGAGGCTGCAGTGGCCAGGAGCGTGCCACTGCACTCCAGTCTGGGCGACAGAGTGATACTCCAACTCAAAAAATAAAAATAAGAAAAATAATGGATCTTTGAATTCACTTTTGTTGTAATCCCATCATATTCCTTTAGGCTCAAAAGAAAGAAAGAAAGCTCTTCTAGATTATATTTTAGCTTAATATCAACATGGTTTATAAGAGAATGGAAAAGCCATCACCTCACATGTTTCAGCCACCCTAGGCTCTGCAGAACTGCTGAAGTGCACACCATATCTCTGCACATGAGCTTGTGGAATGTGTTGAGGAGACTTGAGCTCTGTATAGAATCATTGGCCCAAGAGCCAGGGTGGAGGAGGGCTGGATGAGTGGACAGCACAAGGAAGGGTAAAGTTACATTCTTAGCTGCTATCTGGAAAAATACCACTCTTTCTTTAAAAATCACATTCCTGGTTGGGCTCGGTGGCTCAGCCTGTAATTCCAGAACTTTGGGAGGCCAAGGCAAGTAGATTGCCAGTGGGTTCAAGACCAGCCCGGGCAACTTGGTGAGACCTCGTCTCTACAATAAATCAAAAGTTAGTCAGGTGTGTAGTTCCGGCTACTTGGCTGAGGCAGAAGGATCGCTGGACCCAGCTGGGGTGGCCATAAGCGTGCCATTGCACTCCAGCCTGGGCGACAGAGTGAGACTGACTCAAAAAACCCCCCACAATTCTGTATATAATTGATCTATTGGTCCTTATAATCAATATAATCAGGTCTTAGATTGTTATTTGTCATTTTCATGTCACCAGTGGGTGTCACTCGCTTATTTGTAATGATTTTTAGGAAGTTTAGTAAAGAGAAAATCCTTATATTTAAAAAGTGCATTTTTTTGGTCAGGCGCAGTGACTCAAGCCTGTAATCCCAGCACTTTGGGAGGCCAAGGTGATAGGATTGCTTGAGCTCGGGGGTTCAAGACCAGCCTGGGCAACTTGGTAAGACCTTGTTTCTACAATAAATCAAAAAATTAGCCAGGCATGGTGGTATGCGCCTGTATTTCCAGCTACTTGGAAGTCTGAGGCAGAAGGATCTCTTGAGCCCAGCAGGTCGAGGCTGCAATGACTGAGCATGCCACTGCACTCCAACCTGGACAACAGAGTGAGACTCCAACTCAAAAAAATAAAAGTACATTTTTAAAAATTTGAGTCAGGGTCTTATTCTGTTCCCCAGGCTGGAACAAAAAACCCTAAGCCTAGTTAACTTTTTTTTTTTTTTTCTGTAGAGATGAGGTCTCCCTATATTGCCCAGGCTGGTCTCAAACTCCTGGCATCAAGCAGTGCTCCCACCTCTGCCTCCCAAAGTTTTGGAATTACAGGCAGTAAGCCACTGCACCCAGCCGAAAAATGTGCATGTTTTAAGTATTTTCATCTTAGT